GAAATTAATTTGTTGAGATTGGGTAATGCTGTGTTCAGACCGAATAAATCTGTAGTTGTTCTTTTAGTTTATTCTATTTCTCTCGAAAGTACACAAGTCACTACTGAACCAAGATCTGTTATTAATGGCCAAAACTTTGATTGTTTTGTTCATGATTGCGTTAAGTTGCTATAGTTATAACACAAATTTGAATGTATTTGGATATATTCTCAACCAGTTATAAAAATGTATTTTCCATTGTAGGAACACCGCTCAAGAAGATTAAACTCACTAAATTGGAAACTCAGTATTACTGTTGTGATTTTTTTCTTTCAATTTATGTTTTTATAATATTAATTCGTATAAATTTTAAGAGGACTTTCCCGAATTCATCATTTCCAAAAAATAAAAATAAAACCCACCTCTTTTTCACACGAAACGTATTTACAAAAGCTGCTTACTCCGAATGTTAAGTGCACTTAATCGCTACTGTCCAAAGTGAATGCCGAAGTGAAGAGTGTTGGTAATTTTGTGAAAGGTGAATCATTGATTGTGCTGTAGAGTTTTCGGTGAGACTTTGCTCGAGTAACTTATCCAAGGGATTTCCAGGGCAATCGGAAATATGTAAGTTCAATTCAGAAATGAAGCAATTGATGGTTCATTGTATTGTATCTCTGCTTCAGAAGAGTTCCATATGTACAGCTAGACCGTATTACTCACACTTTTGATAAAACTGTTTCATTTTAATTCTTATCGTAGAGTGATGAAATATGTCACGGAATAATAGTTAACATAGCTTTAGGTTGTCCGATGTTTTCTTTCGTTATATCTAATCATCAGAGTGTTGAAAGATTCAGGTACGTACAACATTAACCTTTCGATGACATAACAAATATACCAGTCAGGTTTGGGAAAGTCAGATTAAAGATGAAACGATGTGCAGGGTTAACCTAAAGGCTAATGAGGCACTTGCAAAGGGTCCCCGAGCCTTTTGGGGGCCCCGTACCTCTCTAGGTGTAACAAGTAATAGAATTCGGTGGCGAAAAGATAAAATGATGGAAACAAACAGAGTCCTGGCGTGACTTGGGGGGGGGG